ATCTATCCAAAGGTATAACAAGGAGTGCTGTGGATCGATTGGGTTTTGAGATATGAGAGAAAATCGGGCGGCATGTTGCAAACCGATGGTCTGATTTCGGCTGGAAATAGGCGCTTGATGGGGGAAGTTGTATATGCTTTACAACGGAAAATGGGCACTTTTTTGCTCTATCCAGTACTCCATAAACGAGTCTTTTTGTCTAAAGTGGTCTAGAGATATGTGTGACGGCATGTTTCAAGTGATGGTGAAACTTTGTTAAAACCATCCCTGAAAGTTGGCACGCAATTTTTTTTTTGCGGTAAAACTATCAATGTTAAGTGTCATTCATATGCAAAATTCAATGCGCTTTCCAGCGGTAAAAGTAGGGATTTTTAACCAAACGCGTCTGAAGGTAGGAAGGAAAGGCTGGTAGTATGTTTAAACCGCCGTTAAAATTTAGACTGAGAATATCGCGCTTTATCCGAAAATTAGCTATGTTTTACTATGTAAACTGTACTCTTTCAAGCACTACCCAGAAGTGCAAAAATTAATTAGGGCTGTTTCCAGGGATCGCCGCATTTTGCCAAAACTAGTAAGGAGAAACTGCTTCCTGTGCAAAAACTGCCAACATGTACTGACCATCTTTCGCTTAGCAAAATGGGTTTTCATGCTCTATCCAGTAGTGTACAAACGGACGTCTTATTCCAACTGGTTTTTGAGATATAAACGAAAAGTTGCCAGCATGTTACAACCGATTACCTCGATTTGTAATACCGCCGTTAAACATTAAGCTGGAAGTAGCCTTCCTCCTGCAAAAACTCGCCATGTCCTATATGGCTCTTTCTAGCGCTATCTAGTACTGTAAAAATAGTCTTTTTATTCCGAGTGAGTCTTGAGATATCAAGGAAAATCTGCCGGCATGTTTCAAGCCACCGGCGAAAATTAGTATTGGAAAATTGAGTTTTATGCGAAAACTGCCAAACTTTTGTAACTCTCCTTTGCCTGCCCCCAGATGGTTTTTTCATCCTCTATCCAGTGTGGTAAAAATGGTTTTTCTGGTCGAAAATAGTCTAAAGATATGAAAGAATACGTGGCGGCATGTTTCAAGCGATGGTCTAATTTTGTTGAAACCGCCGCTGAAAGTTTGCAAGCAAAAAATTGTTTTTGTGCTAAAACTATAATGCGTTATCCAGTGCTGTAAAAACGGGTTCTTAAGTTCTATTGAGTCTTGAGATATCAAGGAAAATCTGGCGGCATTATACAAGCAACAGGAAATTTTGTAAACTTTGCATCTTGTGCGACAACTGTCAACATTTTATTACTAACATCTTCCTGTGGAAATACGTGTTTTTCATGCTCTATTCAGTGATGTAAAAACGAACTATTTAGTCCAACTGATTGTGGAGATATCAGGGAAAAGCTGTCCGCATGTTTCAAGCGATGGCCAAATTTTCAGCCAAACCGCCATAAAAAATGTGCAAAAAGTTACGGTTCTTGCGCGAACACTACCAATGTTTTACGTTATAAAATATGGTTTTCATGCTCTGTCCACTGGTGTATAAATAGGCCTTTTCGCGCATATGATTCATGCGATATGATTAAAAAGTCCAATGGACTGACTCAAAATAAACCCTGCAGTTTCACTGTCCACGAAATCTCTTCTGCTCAATAGCTGCTTAGAGCATTTTCGGCCAAATAAGCGCAAACACACTTCCTCAATTTTCCCATGTGAAAGCAAAGCAGGAAAGCTTACAGCCTAATTACTAAATGTTAACTTTGAAGGATGCACCTAATACAACTTCGCACCGAGCAAGCGGCTTTGAGCTCGATTTGCCCGCAAAACTTTCCCTCATAATCCCACTTCGGCAAAACTTGCTAGCTTTCACTTTGTTACTGTTCACTTTGGGACATTGCTGATGAAATTCCTGCTGAACAAACCCGAGTCTAATAAGAATGCGAGTCGCTCCTCTGGATCAGGCCGAGCCCAGTCTCTCTCATTGTTTCGTCGAAAGTGTCTAATTGCGACTACATCTTAATTTCAAATGCTCTTTACCGAACGGCAACATTAATCTGGTATCGCAAAAAATGCCGAAGAACCCGAAGGTGGGTACCCAACAACAATGCCCATTCAACAGCTGAATTTATGCCATAGAGAATGTTCGAAACCGCTTTACATTCATGTTTCGAACGTTAATCATACCATGTCAGTCTTAAGAAGATTTCGTGATATTTTCAGTTCGCAAACCTCAAATGGTATTCCGGGGTGTAGCAAACGTAGCCTAAAATGTGACTTTTACTTGGAAAATCACTGCGGGCAAACAAATGTGGTTAGTTTATTAAATGCGCTCTTCAAAACTTCGAATGTATAACAATGTCAGACATTGATGGAGGTAGACTTAACCTTACAGCCGAATCAACTCGTTTGTACCTTCATTTTCTCCAGGACTTTCTAAGAATTCAAAATATGACTTGAAGAGCAGATTTCTTCTTTTTCTTCAGTTTCTGTAAAATCTTAAATCGAACAAGAGAGCACGTTTCAAGCTAAGGAATGGTTGGCGTTTGAAGAATTATAATTTTGACAAATTTTTGAAAATTAATTTATCTCAACACCTTCTGAGTCAAGGGCTGACCTATAAATTGTGAAATAGAGCCTTTCTCGCTTCCCCTAATGTGGAAGCTTCATCATCATCAGAATTTTGCAAACATTTGGCCGAAAAGAAAATATCTGAACCTGCACATACATTTTAATATATATACTTTTCACTATATTTCAAAAATTAATTGCTCCTAACGGTACTTTCCTGGTATACTGTGTTACATATCGTTAAATAGAGCTTGCTCTGCTCGGTGAACTCTAACCATGCCGATTACTTACGAATTTTGACAAATTTTTGAAAATTCTACTGCTACCTCGCCTGAATCATGCCTCAGATTTTAGTCGCCTATTGAAGATCGGGTTTACACAATTAATTTCTCTTACATTTACTCCAATAAAAAAGTGTTACATATTTGGTGAAATAGAGCTTTTCTTGCTCTACATTCCCTGTTAGTTTTAGTGCGAGAGCGGGTTCTGAAAAAATTTTGCAATTTTTTTAAAATGTGGCTGTTCACTCATCGGTCTCAAGCCGCATAGTTTTCAATAATTTTTTTTTCTGCAGCGAACTTCACTACAACTTTCTGCTTCCATCGTTTATTAGAGCAGCAGGCTTTGCTTTTTACGCCAAAAAAATTCACAGTCTTAGAAGACTTTGGGAATTTGGTAGGAGTTTTTGAAATTTTCTTACCGATTTCCTTCGAATGGTCTCTCACCGACAAACTTTCAAAATCCAACGACAAATCCAAATCATAAATAAGACGAGTATTAAAAAACTCGAAAAATCGGAAAAAATTGAGAAAATCACAATGTAGCTTAACATTTTGTCCTATTTATTAATCAACTGAAGGGTTTTCCTTCACTGTTTGACTCAACTCCAGTTCATTTGCATGCTCCAAGTCGGCCAAACTTCCGAAGTTTTGCGTGATAAGGAAACATCAATTCTATTACGCCTATCCAAACTAGTCTGGAAAGTTTTCCCCGAGTAAATCTTCAGACAGTTTCGCATAGACAATAAAGGGAAACTTCATTTGCGTATTTCAGTGGAAGACGCCGCGCCAATTAATTGTTAACCTGTCGTTCGTTAATTGGAAAAGTTGTCGCTAGCTGGAAAAATAGGCATTTTTTACTTTATGTGGAAAGTTTCACTCTATTATAGTTTTAATAAATGTTCCCATGAACCTGCCAAATCTAAGCTTGTTGTTGGGAAGTCCTGTGAAACTTTAAGGACCCACTGGACTTTAAGCTGGGAAACTTTTCCTATCAACCAAGATGATTAAAAGCGCTCCTTCGGCTCGTTAAAAACAGTTAATTGAACAGATGTTTCGAAGCTAGTGAAACTAGCGTCGAACAATTTAAAATACTGAAACTTTTTTTTTTTTTCACACAGTTGATGATGTTTTTCCAGAAAAAATGATTTCTGTTGGAAGTCTGTTCTAGCCCAAATGCTTTTTCTGCCAGTTCGCGCTTTTGTAAAAAATGTAGTACGACACATAACGTTTCTATAGGGTGGACAACAAAAGAATGCAAACGTTTGAGGAGAGAAAAATAATTACACCTAATAAGACTTCAAACAGAATTAAAATCGCTTGTTTTAAAGTTGAGGGAAATTTTTCCGTGTAGCATTTTCCGTGTTGATCAGTTTATGTTATAATAAATTAAACAGAAAGGTGAAACACAATGGGGGGAGGATTGGAAGAGCCAATCCCCAAACGCACCAAGATGGATGGGAAAGACAGTGAAAAATCAGTTCGGGGTGAAAAAATCCAGCTGACTTGAGTGAATTTTCTTCTCGATTTATTTTTTATCCCAACACGCCAGGCTTTCCGCTATTCGGCGAAGGAACCGTTGAATCTGTATCGGTCCCAAGATTAATTGACGGTTTCCCCGAAAGGGTGCGTTTTTACGGGGGTTTTTGCGAAAGCCAGAAAAAGGGCGCAATTTTCATGACATCCCTGTGAAATATTTTGCTTAAACCTAGCTTACTAACCCAAAAATCCCCTGTTGAACTATGGCGACCAATATTTTAAAAATCTCAAAAAAAATCGACACTTAGATCTGAAATATTCGGCATTTTTCATCGAACATATCGGTGTATAACCGGCGAAATGCGGCTTATAGGCCTGCCGCTGACCACGCAGTTTGGCCATTTGGGCCTACTATGCAGGCAACCCTTTTCTAGTTGGTAAAACCTGTCGAAGGAAATAAACGCGCCTGTTTGAACCAGTTTATCACGCTTTATAACTGTTCGGATCAGTCTGATGTATTTTAAAATAATAAACAATCGAAATAAGCTTTTAACAAACTCGTAAATTTCGACGCCCGAGCTTTTAGCTCTGCGACGTTTGGCAAATGGGCAATTCGTCGTTTGCATGAATTTTTAAAAGCCGAATGAATCGTTATTAAGCCAATGTTTTCTGCAACTTACCATTAGCCCTTAATGTGGTGTAGCGGAGCATCAGCCGACCGGATCCCCATCGTTGCAGAATTTCCAGAGGACGATCCGAGTCCTTAAGCGGCACATCTGGAACAGTAAACAGTTTCCAGCTCAATTCGCTTGAGTCTAAATGGGCATATTTGCAATGCAACGCGCGTTATTTAGGCCTAAACCTACGAAAATCCTATCAATCTTCTTCCGCCCGATTGATGTATGGTGTTCGAGGCCTTCCCATCCACATGATTGATTTTATCGAATGACAAAATATAGAACGACGCTTTCGCAGTGGCCACATCCAATCTACGGCAATTAATCATGACTTCCATCGGCTTACCTCCGTCGGCGCCAAATCCTCCCAAAAAGGTAAGCAGAGCATTTGATCGAGAATGTGTCTTTGTACATGTTGAACTGGAAGGAAACAAATGAGTTTCTCCCATGGGTTTCATTGAATAAATCAATTTAGATTGCGAAGACTTTGAAGGAAAAACTCTGCAGAGTTTTTGGGTCGATTAGGCGCAGATGGAGTTTGTGTGTGATTTAAATCGTGTGAACAGAGACTGCAAAAACCTTTTCATTGGTCGTATTCGAATTGAACCCATCAGTGTGAAAACCAAGGGGGTTTGTGTCTCCCAAGTGCAGTTTGAATATGCAAAAATGTCTGAAAAGCAGGGAAGCTGCAGGAAATAAACCCCAATTCTTTAGAGAAGTTTTCAAAAATACATTCCTCGTACTGGTTTTAATCCAGAGTTACTTACCTGGTTCAATAGAGCTTTATTATTTCTTGGTTCGCGTTGAAAGCCTTTTCGCTATAGAAGTGTTCTTCTAATTTGGAGGAATTTTTTAAAAGTCAATGTTTTATCGCCATTTTCAGGTCGCACATTTCGCAGACCAGTTTTCAAAAATTAATTTCCTCTAAATCGGCAAATGGAGGGAGTTTCAAGTAGCATTGTGAGTTTCATTGTGATGGAAGTTTTCATCGATTTTTGACGCATTTAAAAAATGCCCCAACGAGCAATTTTGGCTCACTAGGTTTCAAAAATGTATTACTCCTAAATCTGCTCTAGCAGGAAGTTGCTTAGTACATGGCTAAACAGACATTTTTTTGCTGTAAACGATTTGACAGTTTTATCAACATGGGAGTTTTGGGTGAATTTTGACAAAGTTTTCAAAATGCTGCTTTCATATCGGAGCTTTCAAGGCGCGCATTTGGTAGACTTGATTTGAAAAATCAATTTCTCTTAACTCTTCCAACAAGGATTATGATTTGACATCAATTCTGTACAGCAAATTTTATTGTAATTGGAGATGTTGGTAGATTTACAGGAATTTTTGAAAATAACGCTCTCATATCGTAATTCTCAGGTCACACGAGACAGACTAGTTTTCAAAAATTAATTTCTCACAAATCGTCCTCCCGAGAATATGGCTTTACATACAGCTATATAGAGAAATGTCGCTTCTACGTTTGCCGAAAGGTTTATCATAATTCGAGTTGTTGGTAAATTTTTGGAAACATCGCTGTTATATCGAAACTCTCAAACCGCACAGTTGACTAGTTTTCAAAAATTAATTTCTTTTAAATCTTCCGAACGGGAATATGATTTGATATCAACTTATATGTGTTGATCGTTGTACTACGTTTCGGGAAAATTTCATTATTATTGAACTTTTTGGTAAATTTTTAAAAATGTCGCAGCTCTTCAACCGCAGATTTGGCAGACAATTTTTCAAAAATTAATTTATCTTAAATGGTTCACCTGAGAATATGGCTTCACATGAAATTGTATAGAACAATGTTTCTTATACGTTTTCTGAAAGGTTTATCGTAATTCAAGTTGTTGGTAAATTTTTAGAAATTTTTAGAAACACCGCTGTTACCTCGAAACTATCAACCCGCACAGTTGACAGAGTAATTTTAAAAAAGTAATTTCTCTTAAATTTTCTAACCGAGAATATGATTTAACACAAATTTATTTAGAGCCATCTTCCTTATACTTTTTGTGAAAATTTCATCATAAGTGGAGTTTCTGGAAAATTTGCGCAATTTTTTTTTAAATGTCGCGGTTGTATCGCAGCTCTTAAACCGCAGATTTGACAGACAAGCTTTCAAAAATCTATATCTCCTAAATCTTCAGAGCGAGAATATGGCTTTGCTCACAATCGTAAAAAGCCATGTTTCTTCTACGTTTCCTGAAGGGCTCATCGCGTTTACAGTTGTTGTCCAAATTTTGAGCATATTTTGAAAACATCACTGTGTGAGCGCTTTGAGCGCTGCGATATGAAAGCGGAATTTTCAAAATCTTGTCAAAAATTTAGTGAAAATTCCATTTCGCTGAAACAACAAAATCCCTATTTAGCCAGCCATGTACCAAGCAACTGCTCGAACAGATTTAGGAGCAAATTAATTTTTGAAACCCAATCAGTCAGCCAAATTTGCACGTTGGGGCATTTTTAAAAATGCGTGAAAAATCGTTGAAAACTCCCAACACAATAAATCTTACAGCACTTTTAGAAGAAATAACTCTCTATTTTTTCATGCATAAGCCAACGGCCTGCGCTTACCGGTTTAGAAGAAACTGATTTGTGAAAACTGGTCTGCGAAATGGGCGACTCGAATATGGCGATAAAACATTGACTTTTAGAAAAATCTTCAAAATTTGGATCTAAAAAATTTGATTTCAATAAATTTGTTTAGAGCAATCGTAGTTCTACGTTTTGTGAAAATTTCCTCGTAATTCGAGTTGTTGGTAAATTTTGAGGAATTTTTTAATATAGCGCTATCACATCCCAACTCTTAACCCGCAGATTTGATAAACAACTATTAAAAAATTAATTTATCTTCAATCTTCCAACAGAGAAGATTACTTTACATACCACTGGATAGGGTGATCTTTCGTCAAGGTTACGGTAAATTTTTATCGTACTTTCAGTCGCTGCAAAATTTACACGAATTTTTTTAAATAGCCGCTAGCATAAAGAAATTCACACACCGCACATTTGACAGACTAGTTTTCAAAATTCAATTTCTCCCAAACCTGCCAAACTAGTTTAAGGCTTTACATATAATTGTATAGAGCGATCTTTTCCGTACGTTTGGTGAAAGTTTCATCGCCATTAGGGGGCTCTAAAGATTTTTTTTTAATTTCGCCGTCAACTCGTACTTTCAAACAATAATTTTCAAAATGCCGCTGTCCAGTTCCCTCAAACAGCACATTTGGCAGACTAGCTAAAGACAAATTAGCTTTAGAGGCAATTTCTGTCTAAATAATTATTTTGTTTTCTCCTTTCTGGCGTTGTGCATGAAATTGCAATCAGTAAGACTTAGTAAACTGCAGAGAAACTCTCCACAAAACGGATTTGTTGTTCGATTCAATATCCATTAAAGCGCATTGACATCACTCTTTCACTAAACTTCCTCTGCCCTGAAACTTTGGAAAATATCGATACACGTTTCGAGCTAATATGATTGATGACCATCTGCATGACACAATAGCGAATTTCCCTGATAATTTTCACAGTTTTGCACCATCGGAACTGCACTTACTTTTGTTCGCAAAGTCGTTTTCCTCATTGGTTCGAGATTTGGTGCTGGATGAGGTGACGATCATCATCTTCCCTTCAACACTCTAAACACTGGAGGAAATAGGAGCTACTAGCTAAGGAAGGTTTCAACAAAGCCACACACGTTAAGCTAGAACTGAATCTAATAAAACGAAAAATGTTATTCCAGCCAGTTTCGAACCTGGATCGATGAGTATGAATGAATTACGATGTTACAAACCGACCGTTGCGGGTTGTCTTACTCGATATTTTTCCCTTTTAGGGTCATTCGACGGAATTATTTACCACATCCTCGAATGCCCAGACAGTAACTCTTGAGTTGCTGGCGCAATTTTCCTTCAGAATAAGCGAATCAACGGGAATTTGCCAGCTAAAGCCCAAACGGAAAATCCAAACTGCCTAAAAGCTTAATTCACTCATTATGGGAGAAGGGCCTCGATGGCGTGCAGGTAATAGGCGAACCACCCGGAGTTATCGACCAACTAAACAACTAAATGAAACTCATGTAGCATTCGACTAATAAAATTAGAATATTCTACAAAACGCCCCTAAACTGGGGCAAAGTTTAGAGCGATTTGAGCCAATAATTTCCGGCAAATACGAATCACAAAGCCCGGCCTTGCGACCAACTCCTTAAGAGCCCTGCTTGCTGCCTTTGTAGGAGATAATTGCTGCCATAACTTAGCCAGTAGTTACATATCTGGCGGTTACAAGTCTAGCATGGAAGAGTATGAATATGATATGAAATTAATGGGATTTATCATCTTCTGCAGGTTTATTCAGCTGGTATTTGCTCGCTTTGGCGAAATAATGGGCGTTAAAGTCAATTTATAGCGTAGAGTTGAACTGGAGGGATGGGGAATGGAGGAAAACTAAGACGAATGAGAATGAATTTTATTGAAAAGAACTAGGAAGGAGAGTCAAAGAGTGCAAGCCAGCTGCGGAATGCCGCTTGCATTTAACCAGGCTCTCCTTGCTTTATCAGAACGATTCAAAGACAACAATTTAGTAAAATGAACTGATGATTTTCCAAGCACATTGGATTCACTTTGGGCCCTTTGCGGGGCAAACATTGATAACAAGTTCGCCCATTCAGTCGGAGCTCCCATAAGAGGCTTAGTTGGGATCGATTTCCGATCCTACAGACCTTTTTCTGCATTTTTCATTACAGATCCTGCGGCTCCATGTCCGGAACATGACAGAATAAGCTTCTGTTGATTGATCTGAAAACGCCGCTTTTTCGTCCTAAGTTTAATGATATTCAACTATTGCATGATTCTAAGCAATTTCAAATGCAGAAACTAAGAAAACCTCTATTTACAGGAATTTCCATTAGTTATCCTCAGGTGCTCCATCTCCGAAACGTGTTGCAATAAGGTTTGTTTGACTGATAGAAGCACACAACAGTCTGAGTCCCAATTAAGTTTGTTAGTCTTAAAGTGTTTGCAAAAAGCAAAAAGTGGGAAATCGAGAAAATGCGGATTTTCTTCAACTTCCTTTACCGATCTTTAAGCTCCATGGGCGGACCAGATGAGAAAAAAGGCGATTTGGTTAAGGAGAAACCGAGTCTTCCAAGTTGAAAAATATTCAATTGCTTCAGAATTAACGAAATTCCAGCTAAAAATGGTTATTTTCGGCCATTTCCATTAATGATTTTCAAGATACATGTCCAAAACGTGTCAAAATAAGGTTAGCTCGATTGATAGAGAAACGTAACAGTCTGAGTCCAAATTAAGTTTACCTATTGGCCTTGAAGTGTTTGCAAAAATCTATGAAATTCCAAATGGAAAATCGAGGAAATGCGGATTTTCTTGAACTTCCATTACGTATATTTAAGGTCCATGGCCGGACCAGATGAGAAAAATGGCGATTCGGTTAAGAAGAAACCGAGTCTTTCAAGTTGAAAAATATTCAATTGCTTCAGAATTAACCAAATTCCAGCAGAAAAATGGTTATTTTCGGCCATTTCCATTAATGATCTTCGGAATCCATGTTCAAAACGTGTCAAAATAAGGTTCGCTTGATTGATAGAGTATCGCAACAGTCTAGGTCCCAATTAAGTGTATTGGTGATCAAGTGTTTGCTAAAACCCATGAAATTTCTAATCGAAACTGAAAGAAATGCGGATTTTCTTCAATTTCCAGAGGTGGAACACATCAGAACATTTGGTTCCTGACGAGTTGAAAGTTCGCCGAAAACACCAATAAATTTTGAGGAAAAAATGCAAGCAATATCCATTTTATGCACTTTTCATGAATATCTGATCTTCAGGCTACAAGTTTAGAGTATGTAAAAATGAACTTCAGTTGCTTGATAAGGAAAAGCAGCCGTCCAGGTTTCGTAGTTTTCAATTATTTGCAAGAATCCTTCAAATTTCAAAGAAAAATGGCGAAAACATGGAAAAAACACAAATTTCCATAAGCGATTTTCAGCTCCCATGACTCCACAAAGAACTTCACTTGACTGATTAGGAAATGCAGCGCAGCAAGTTTGATTGTGTTCAATCGTTTGCAAGAATCTATCGAAATAAAATAAAAAAGTGGCCAAAATATGGAGAAAACATCGATTTCCATTCATTAGTGATTTTTAGCCTCGATGACCGCAATATATCAAAGCACGAAAAATACCTCACTTGACTGATTTAGACGCGATTAGAAATATTCAGTAGTTTGCAAGAATCAATTGGAAAAATGGCCAAAACATGAAAAAAATTTCCCCATTTGGAGAAATTTCCATTAATGAGTTTCATCTTCATTATTCTAAACCAGGGTTTTTCGGAAAACGCCAATAAAATTTGTAAAACCTTTTTTTTTCAACGAGTTAGAAAAAAACGTACACTTAACTCCCTTAGATCTGACATCCTGCTCATTTGCACTAAAGTTTTAAATTTACTCCAAAGCCTTGGCAGATACGCGAAAAACACTGGAGACCAAAAAGCCGAACTGTTTTTGGAAAACCCCCCAGTGGCGTCACACCAAAAAATTATACGGGGCACAAACAAAGAGAATCTTCATGAAGGAAAAATACCGTAAAGCACTTGAAAAAACCCCCGAAAAAATTTCCAACTCCCTTCAGATGCAACACAATCAACCAATTCACAGCATAAGAACGTCTACAATAAATCGTGTATCATACACCTCAAGATTATGACATGCACTTAACCAATCGACGTTCGTTTTAAACTTTCCGTGAGCGCCAAATGTAACTTGCACATTTTCCATTATGGTCCTTCAAGGTGTTAGTGCAACCTACTGGGGGAACCCAAAAAATAGCTTTTGCCCAATCCTAATCAACACTTGACCTGCAGTGAATCCAGCAGATGATGGATCAATTGCATACCATTAACACGGGAAATGATGATCCGTATTCAGTTGATAAGTTAATAATACGCGGGTCAAAGTCGCCTAAGCCGTAGGCTTATTATTTGCGGCGGAATAGGTGAAATCGCAGCTGGCAGAGACGCACAGGGAATATAAATTATTCCAGTTTCATCCCGATTCCAGCCCGCACCTTCCACAGGTTTCATTCGGGTTGCCGACGTGAAATGTGTTAGTCTGTTATTACCGAGGTGTCAGCGTAATTACAATATGGCAATGTTGAATAAATTACTTTGCGCGTATGTGTTTGTGATTTGTTAATTTTCCCGGCGTTCCTCACATGGAATCCTACATAATTTTCCTCATTTGGCTGTTTCACCCCAACAAAACTCCCCGCCTTTATCGGCCGATAGCGCAAAAACTATCGCTCTGCCAGATTTTCTTCAAAACACCTTTTTTATTGCCCATTGATAGGCACACAAAGCAAATCATAAAAAGGCCGATATACTGGGCGGCCTAAAAACTACAGCCAATTTAGCGGGGGCTTACCTTCAATTGCCGGGCAAATCAGTTTGCAGTGTTCATCTCCTGGATCCCTGCAGCATTCGATAATATCCGAAACAGTTGTATGAGGCGTAATGGGCACTGAAGTCTTGGACCCATAGTTAAACACTGTCACTATCATCTGCAAAAAAACAAAATTTCGGTATTTCGGTATTCCTCAATTATGTTTTTTTTTTCAATTACAAGCGAAACGTCCGAGGCGAAATCAGTCGAGAATGCAGTAAATTGAACACTAATGCGATCTGGGCAATTATCAATGAATCAATCAAGTGCACACGAACCGCAAACAAAAGTGGAAAGAACCCGAGTGGTTTTGGGTGCGGACATTGATCTTGGCCAGACATGTAAACCGTTTCTGGATATTGTGTTTCCACGGCTTCGCTCGGATTGGATGACAAGCACGTTTCTGTTACGAAATAGCCGAGGAATTCGATCGGAACGCTCAGTTATATGACACTTTTACACCCGAAGAGAATGGAATTGTTACAGAAGAATTGCTATTTGAAACGTCGAAGATTGATTACAGTTCACTTGTCGGGTTCTCACTTTCATGGACTTGGCACCACTTTAAACATTTATGTGCGGTGAAACCAGATATGATGTGAACTGGGTGGACCCTTTTCAAGTTTCATCAAGATTTTTTTGGCTTGTGCCCGTTACAACTTTTTTGTGGGTCGCTACTGCACGATTTTTCCCAAAGGTTGCCTGATTCGCTAGGAAACTTTTGGCTCCTAGTGTTTTTGCGTATCTGTCACGAGTTTGGAGTAAAAAACCGATTAATATTTGCTTTCCAGTTTAAGAGGCTTTGAGTTTAATCGTTTGGTTATCCTACAAAAAGACTTCTGAAGAACAATACTTTTTCGCTTTCAGCCATTTAAATCGTGCAAATTTTGGCTCATTTGAACGAGGATGGTGTCCTCTACACTTAACAACTGGTAAGCGGACGCTTTATGAAAAACTCCAATTTTTTTCCGAATTAAGGCGACAAACCCACCGAAAAATGTTTCGTTTTATTATAATCCTTTAATTTGAAAAAATGCAAATTTGCTTTTTTTCTTGCTTTGCTGCTTGAAGCTTTTCAAGTGGTTTACCATCTTCTTTCTTCAAGAAAACTTTCTTGGGGTGCGCCCCTTTTAACTTTTTTGTGAGTCACCACTGAATTATTTTTCCAAAACCGTTCGTCTTGTTGATTCATTGGCAAACTTTTTTCTCTCTAGTGTTTTTTGAGTATCTGTGAAGGTTTTGAAGTACAAAATTGTTTAACATTTTAACAGTTTAAGGAGCTTTGAGTGTAATCATCTGGTTTTCCTTCATGTTTCATCCAAAAAAAATACGTTTTGCAAGTTTTCTTGATATTTTCTGGAAAAATAATTGATTTTCGGTGTAGTATATTGAAATCCTCCAAATTTTGGCTCACATCAAACAGCATTTTTGCTTCTACAGTGCCCTATAATGCTCATATCTACACTTCTTCAACCGCAATGGTTATTTATAAAAAAACTTCCATTCTCTCCGAAATGTTGGTACATAAACTACAAAAGATTGATTTTTCAATAATAATTCGAAGGCTGCACTGGAAAAAAGAGCATTTGGTTTGCTGTTTGGAGCTTTTCAAGAGGTTTACAATCTTCTCGCTTCAAGAATATTTTCATGGCTTGCACCCCTTGTAACTTTTCTATGAGACTAAAAAAATACGTTATGCAAGTTTTCTTGCAATTTTCTTGAAAAATAATTGTTTTTCTGTTTAGCATATTGAAATCCTCCAAATTTTAGCTCACATCAAAGAGAAGTTTTGCCTCTGAAGTGCCTTATAATGATAATATCAACAATTCCTCAACCGCTGGTTAGATGGTGCTTTATGAAAAACTCCCATTTTCTTCCCACTTTTTGGTGAATAAACAACAAAAGATTGATTTTTTAGTAATAATTCGAAATATTCAGTGGAAAAAACTGATTTGGTTTGCTGTTTGGAGCTATTCAAGAGGTTTACAAATTTTTTTGCTTCAAGAAAATTGTCTTTGCTTGCGCCCCTTGTAACTTTTCTCTGAGACACCGCTGAAGAATTATTTTAAAAGTGGTCGATTGCTTGGTTCATTGGCAAACTTTTTTCCTTCAGGTGTTTTTTGCGTATCTGTGAAGGGTTTGGAGCAAAAAATATATTTATCATTTGCATGCAAATTCAAGATATTCTGAGTGCAATCGTTTGGTTTCTCTTCAGTTTTCACCCAAAAAAATACGGTTTACAAATTTTCTTGAAGTGTTCTGCAACCAAATTTGCTTTTTGGGTTGGATCATTGAAGCTCTCCTAGCTTTGGATCATTTCAAAGAGGATTTTTTCCTTTACAATGCCTTAAATTCCCATATCTACACTTCCTCAACGGCTGGTTAAATGGAGCTTTATGAAAATATCCCATTTTCTCCGAAATTATGGCGAAAAAACCAGCGGAATAATTTTTCATAATAGTTCAAAGGGTTCACTGAAAAAATGCGCATTTGTTTTGCTGTTTGGAGCGTTTCAAGTGGTTTACAATTTTCTCGCATAAAATAATGTTTTTGGCTTGCGCCCCATGTAACTTTTCTCTGAGACGACACTGAAGCATTTTTATGAAAGTGATCCATTCTCTGATTCATTGGCAAACTATTTTCTCTCTAGTATTTTTTACGTATCTGTAACGGGTTTGGAGTAAAAAATTGTTTAATATTTGCATGCAAGTTTAAGGAGCTTTGAGTGTAATCAACTGGTTTTCCCTCATGTTTCGTCCAAAAAAAAATAAATTTTGCAAGTTCTCTTGAACATTTCTTGAAAAATAATTCATTGCCGGTTAGGATATTGAAATCCTCCAAATTTTGGCTCACATCAAAGAGGATTTTTGCCTCTACAGTGCCTTATAATGCCAATATCAAGACTTCCTCAACCGCTGGTTAGATGGTTCTTTATGAAAAACTCTCATTTTCTCGGCAATTTTGGCGAATAAACAACAAAAGATTGATTTTTCAATAATAATTCGAAGCTTCACTGAAAACAGCGCATTTTCAAGAGCTTTTCAAGCACCACTGACCAATTATTCTCAAAGAGTCGGATTTTCTGATTTATTGGAAAACTTTTTGCTTTTTAGTGTTTTGTACATATCCGTGAAAGGTTTGAAGTGGAAACAGTTTTTCCGTATCAATAAAAAATTTTCAGGCAAAAAAATCTTTAACATTTGCCTGCTAATCAGCAGAAGAGTCATTTGGTTTTCTGTAATTTTTGTTCTTCATCTACCTCAATTTTCATAATCTCGCCCTGAAGAGCATTTACAAAGAAATTTATTGAACTTTTGAGTCTGAGTTTAAAATATTCTTTTCTTATTGCCGCAAATAATGCCGAAAATTGAGCTCAAAATTCAAGCATTAAAATGTCCATATCTTCGGGTTTCTTAGTTAATCTATGGTTTGGACCATGCAAATTTTTCAAGTTGAGTATTTTTTCGCCTAAAACCTGCCTTGGGATTCGCTTATCCATATCTATTGGCTTTATGCAGAAACGAGCAACTGAAACCCCTTTTCGCAGGAATTAGCGCGGAAAAGCAACAGAAAAGTGGAGGTTTGGATGATTTCATATGCAGCAAGTTAAAAAAATTGCGCATTTGTTATACTGTTAGACTATTTTGCAATGGGGATAAGCAGCCACATTTTCTACCATTTCCACATCAATTTTTCGCTGTTTTTCTTAACTACGCTAACTCGGATGCGCGCAATTTTTACTGCGAAAATTCCAGGACAAAAATGTCTTTCCAGCCAGCCCAAACTCGCCTCATTTAGTTTTGATCGGCAACACAAAAAAATTATTTGCGTTTTTACCACCTTGTACTAAAGTCGTGCATCCACCCAATTCTACGGGGTGTTAGAAGAGAAACTGCCACCTTACCAGCAAGGAAATCAACGTTATCGGCACTCTGCCTGAAACTGAATTTGATATTGGCCACAGACTACATACTATTGGCGCTAATGAAGTGTGTTCCCTCACACCCAGCTCTAATGGAAATCTAATAACGCTGTTAATGAGTTCTCTTATCTGGTATCTTTCTGACAAAGAGGCGAACTGGAATCGATAATGAACGCATCCGAAGTTCGGAAGTTAATTCGATAAAGCGATTCGATGCATAGTCGACGATGCCCATAAATGCATTCCCGCTCAACTGGGGCCTCTAATCAATAGC